AACATTTTGACAGCGTGCCTCAACCAGCCCAAATTATGATTCAAGCTACCCTGGTGCTTGCCTTGCAAAATGCCGGCTGCAGCCACCATGCCGAAACCCTTGGCCTAGGGCTCTACCAGGAACTGGGGCAGAAAGATGCAAGTGACCTCCTGTTGACAATGATAAAGATCCTGGACACAGCTAAACCTACAGGTGAAAATACAAGCTTTGCTGCCCTACAGTTCAATTTGGACCAGTTAGCCCAGAAACAAACTTTCCACTGCCGAGGCCTGATGCAGGTCGATGGAGCTCTCCTCCATGGCCAGGTGTACCGTGAATATAAGTGGTTTCCAACAGCTGCTGACGCCTGTCACCGTTTAGGGAATGTTTGTGGAGGAGTTATCACCAACGGCAGCAGTTCCTTCCAAGTGGTGCTTAGAAATGGCAGCTACTTCTGGCCACAGCATGGTTCTCATTCCTGGCTTCATGAATGTTACACTCAGGCACGCATGCGACGTTCATCACTAGAACACTGTGTAAATGTAACAGATCAAAGGGCACACAAGATTGTGGGGTTCATACCTGGAGTCAGCACTCTATATAACTTTGCAACCAGCATATACTACTATACTCAAGACTGCATTGACTTGGCCAAGAAGCGTGCTCAAGAGGGGGCCATTGACCTGGGTTTTGATGCCTTGGTTGCTCTCACTGGTGGGGCTGCGACTCCCTTAAGGATGGGGGTTGCTATAGCAGTGAAACCAGTGTTCATAAAAGGGGCAGAGGCTCTAATTGACAATTTTCAAAAGGAAGAGCAACCACCGTATCCAGTCCCCACCAATGTCAGTGATTCAAACATCAAAACCTAATCCAAGCATTCTCAAACTTTGCTACAATCACCTACCGGTAAATATAATAAATGAGTAGGTACAACCCATCCAATAAAATTTCTGATTTGATTCTGTTGGAGTTAAGTCTGAGCAAGAAATAAAAGTATCTCTGAAATAATTAAATTTTAATCTATATAATTACCATGATTCTTGAACTTGATAGGTTCAGGCAATTAACCAAGGACCAGAGCAGGGACCAAAGATTGATTTTGACAGCCCTAAAACTTTACTTATCCAAGTCTGAACAGCTTTTTTTAAAGAAAAACCTGATACTTTACATTATTTCCCCAGCCTGCAGTCTTTCCCCAGCCTGAAGGATACTGTTTACAATCTATTAGCTTCCCCAGTCTTTGTCCAAAACTGTTTGAACCCATCTGTGAATTGTTGTCAGAATTCTGTTGTCCCGTATTAATTCTAATTATGGCTGGAAAAGGACAACACCATTACTCCTATTTTCACTATTTCAAAGAAATGTGATCAAGAGCCACTCATGCCAGAACACTGGTGAATGGGAATATTTTCTCCAGAAGTTATTTCCTTTAATATTTAATAATATCCACAAACGTGTGGGAGGGGGATTGCAAGGTTTCCAAAAAAAAAAACCCAACAACAACCAGCTATAAGGCTCGATTGTGAAATGCTGGCTGTTGAGGGAACAAATAATTGGGGGAGGTAGAATGGATTAGACAAACTGGATTTCTGTTCTACAATACTTTATTCAGAATATTTTATTATAGGTCTCCCATCTTTGAAGAAAATGGGGGAGGGGGAAGGAGAATGTGTATACACCGCAGGTTTACTCTAATATTCCCAGAGTCCTCACAGTTATATGTGAAGATAGATAATTAATCAAGAAACTCATCAGGAATCCTCTCAAAAGGAATAGTGCCTTGCTTTTCTTGCTATTGTAAGTTAGCACCGACCCACCCCTCTCCTAGGAAAATGAGATATTTTATGAAATATTAAAAGGGCAGAATATTTCCCCTAAAAGGGAAGTAGAAACTCACCCCTCCCCACCTTTGTCAATGGGCCATTAAGGCCTGGGCCGGTCTATTCTACATAACAAAGATTTACCTCCTTCAGGCACAGCCATAGGAGGAATTGCCCAAAGTCCCTTCTTTACATCATCACCCAGCAAACTCAACCAAGCCTGGGACACAGACAAAGTTACCCCTGCATGACCCCTTGGGAGTCTGAGAACCAATCAGAATACAAGCTCAAATTCAAAAGCCCAGAGAGGGCATAAAACCCAGGCACTCTCAGCATCTCTTCCCTTTTTTGCCCAGGACCTCAAACCATGTGATCCTGTCCACCATTAAACCAGATCCTGTCCACCATTAAACCAGATCCTGTCCACCATTAAACCAG